ATATATATATATATATATATATATATATATATATATATATATATATATATATATATTGGGGAATTAAGAACAATCAACATGAATCAAACGGTAATAGTAAGAACACAAGGTGTAAATAATTATTTTTAAGCTCAATTGATGTATGGAAGGTAATCTCAAGTGTATAAAATAGGAAGTGTAATAACAATCTATCAACACATAAGACTACAACAATATTTATAGTAGTGCCCCCAGCTGACTTAAAATGTACAGTATGACTAAGCTATCAAAGTGCAACATGAAAATACACACGGAAATACATAGATATTTTGAAGGACCTTCACCTCGATATAGAGAACATTTATGCCTATCAATTGAGAAGTTGGGTCTCTACATGGACTTCAATAGAGAAGCTTTCCAATCACCTTCTCTATTGCCTTTCCAATTAGTCTTCTCAGGCGCTTATCATTTTGGCCTTCTCAACCACTTCTCAATTGGGCCTTCTCAACCCCTTCTCAAGCAGCAATACCACATCATAACATTCAATATTTCTTGACTCTATATATATATATATATATATATATATATATATATATATATATATATATATATATATGGGTTGGTTAAATACCTAACCAAAGAACATCACCTAACCACATAACCACTTCATAACCGTGAGATTAAGCTCAATGCAAACAAGTATGATGGTAAAAAAAAGTTTATCTTATATTCATATACGAACATATGTTCATAAATGAACTTAAGTTTGTATTATAGTATAATTAAAATGATGTTTACAAAATGATGATAAATACCACTTTAGGACAAATGTTAATAACATTACATATTCATGAAACAGGAGCATGATTCAAATTAATGTGAACATATGTTCATACATGAACATATGTTCAAAACTAGAAGATGTTGACTCCAATAACTTATTTTGAGACCACACAAGTGAGATTGGTTCTCATTATGTTGAATTTACCTTTCTAACCCAACCAAACTTCTATCTTTGTATTTTTGTGATGGATCTAGACATGAATATAAGATTGGTTCGCATTATGTTGAGTTCTCATTATCTTGGCATGAATACAATCACCTTTCCATCACACTAAGACCTGCTAAATAAGGATGACTAGCTATCTAGAACATAGCAAAAAAAAAACACCTTTAACATGGTGGGGTAATATTAGAAAATGAACATGAAACCAAGGTACCAACGTTAAGATTATTGTCTTGACATATAGCTTGTTTAATTAGTCTGATACTTGAAGAAAGAAACAAACTTTTAAGTTTTAAGCATGATATTTAGCCATATGGAGGATAAATTTGACATTTCATTAACTTAATGTTTACCATTGTAACAACCTAAGATTGTAAAATATGATGGTTTTTATATGTTAGTAATTCTTGGATCCATAATTAAAGCTAAAGAAAGGATGTCATCAACATCATTCTTATTACACATTTTATTATAATAATTTAACATGAACATAACAAGTGGATGTGTTATGAAAAGTTCTTTAATGCATCTAGAATTATGTTCTTCAAACCTAGGATAATCCAAAAAGTTTTTTGGATTCTGGTTTGCCTATATTGAGTAGAGATTGAGTCATTAACAATAGAAGTTGGTTAAATTCTAAGTAGTTTGCACCTTTTCATGAGATAATTTCATGAAAGAATTGATCCATCTTGTAGCATCTTCTGGAATGCTTACTCCTAACTATGTAAGTGTGGATGTAACAATTAATAATGCATGCTTCTAGGAGAAACTAAATTTACTTTTGTTATGAGAAAGGAATATGTATATTCCTAAGGGCATTGTACTTTGAAGTATCACAAATCCTGAAAAAAAAAAGAATAGAATTAGGCATGATGATATAGTTAGTAAGAAGTAACAAACTAAATACAATACATTTTTAAACAAACGTGTTGAAATCCATAAGAAATTGCCAAAGAGACATATATTATGAAGCTTTCAAACATCAACATCTTTATCTAACAATGATTGCTTAGCTAAATTTCACATTAATTTTTTCTAGTTTGGACATATTCAAATGAGTTTCGTACTAGAAGCCTTTATGAAGGCCGACGCCACTATCTGCTCAAAGATCCATGGCTTGGCAAGAGTTAATTGAAGGAATATCGAAACAATGTTAAAATTACCTTTCATAAACCATAAAATTAGTAGGATTAAAATTTCAAGGTGACTATGGTGGTCCGCCCGCCACTGTCGCCGCATAGGGCCCAACGATAACATGTTGTCGTTGATCACTCATCCTGCAACCATGGACACTACATTTGAATTTTTTCCCACTATGTCTTAACTTCTAAGGAGTTCCGAACACAACACACAAAAGGGAATGGATTTCCCCCACTGGAGTAGCCACCAATGTCGATGGCAGTGGAGATGGAGGTGGTCAATTTCTGCAACTACAATAGAGTCCAAATCGGGTAAATGGGGGATCATATATGATGAATCTATAAAGATGAAGTATATATTTCCATTTATCTTGTGTATGTGCCTGTCATATTATTTCCTTAACAATATATAATTCTATGTAAACTGGTGTGTGTGTGTGTGTCTATGTGTGGGTATATATATATATATATA